CGCCTGAAACGAATGGTGTCTTGGATGTTTTAACTTTTTTTCTCTGATTATATTCAACCTTGTAACATGGCCGCCATTCTGCTGCAAACATGAACGCTTCATAACGAATGTAATCGAGTTGGGTTGATTCACACTTATTCTAATTTAAATGACATTCAGTATTTCAGGGGTGAATTACTGAAATTACGAGATTTCTTTATCTGCTTAAAGGCAATTATCCCTCTTCTGCCAAAGCAACAATTTTTCATTAGGCGTATCGCAAAGCATTAGTAGTAATGTTTTCCATTAGCTTGTAGACATTTATCACTTTTATATTTGATTTACAGTAGCTTAATTTTATGAAGCATTATATCGCAATATAAGAACGATGTCCTCTGAGGAAGGCCCCATGCCTTGAGTGTCCGTTTGGACTTTAGCTCAACTCAGACATCAGGCGGAAATTGTGCATAAAGGCTTACGACCGCATTATGTTCAAATATTGGTTCCCGTATTATCACTGAAGTTAAGCAACAACGAGCCAGGTTTGTACCCAGATGGGTGACCGCTTGAGGATAGCAGGTGCTGTAAGCTTGGACGTGCGGAATTTTTAATAGGACAGCCGAGTTCCAATTGCCGTTGGATTATTGATATTCACTTAAGTGTAAATACTCTTGAGAAAGTTATGAATCTATCTCTTTTGAGTTAATTTGTAAGACATTTATCACGAAACAAATAATTATACCGCAAAAAATTCATACAATCTAAAAATATTCCCTGGCTTTAAATAACCTGCAAGCGGTTGATAGGCCGTAGAAATCGAATCAAAGAATCAATTGTACATGCGATCCAACACTGAAGGTGCTGGAAAAATGGTCAGTTCCAAGCTTCCTGCTATCCTCTCTATTTGCAAGAGACAGATCAGACCGAAAATGGTGTACTGCTGCAACTGTCCAGTTTTCATTTTACACTAACGAAAGAGTTCAAAAGCGTCTCCGCGACCTGGTGAGTGAGGAATCTGCCACCCTAAAACCACTCTCCCACAGATGAAACGTGACAACACGTTCGTTACTCTGTCGCTATTTTCATGGAAAGGTTTCAGACGAATTACATTCGATAGCTTCATCCGGGGCACTTCGACGCGGTGTACTGATTAGCGAGCTTATCTCGCTAGATCATTTACGACTGCGTAGTGAGTTCGATTCTGACTGGGCTTAGAAAATCACTGGCACCTTAAAATAGTGTCATCGTTAGAATGATTGTCTCGAGAGATCAATTATGACTGTGAATTCGATCCACACATTCAGCCTTGGCCTACATCTAAGCTACGTTTAGAAAAATCATTTTGGGCACGTCGACGTGTTGCAATGTCTAGTAAGCTTTACTTGATTGAACAGCTACGACTGAATAGTGAGTTCGATCCTCACTGGTTTCCCTATACTTTTGGCTTTGTGTCACATCTAAGGTACACTTAGAAATCGTTCCACCAGTTTTAACCTTCACGAGAAAGACCCGCCATTTGAGTCACATTGTAGCGAAACATCCTCATTCTCTTCGTATTGCCTTGATGAAATGGAAGTTTCACCTGAGAAGATTCTTCACACGAACTACTGCTATGTGGAACCGACTCCCAAGAGAATGCTTCCCGGATTAAAATAATTTTAATCTATTCAGATTAGAGTTAATTAACCATTATCTTCCTCACATATCTCCATAAACTCTGCTTTTTTATTCTACAACCCTCTACCTTGGGTGGCTCTTGGGCTGAAAAGTGAACATAATTTAAAAAAAAAATAAAACAAAAAATACGCAGCCAGCGAAATTTCTGCAGAGTCAAACAAATACAAATAAACTTTACTTGCTTCAGGTTTTTTTAATACGATATAATAATGTCAAAGAGCCGCTCAAGTTAGTGCTTATGAAATGATGTTGTTGTGAGTGCGTAAAAGAAGTATGAAGTGCATATTATGAGGATATGTAGGATAGATAACGGTTGACCATAAACCTGAAGAGGTTAAGATTTTATTCATCGGGAAAACATCCCTTCGGGATTCCGTTCCACAAAGTAACAGTTATGAAAAAGAAAATGTCTGAGATTAACTTCTTTATTAATGAAATGAACGATCTTCATAAATGGAATACTGGGGAATGAGGTAGAGTCGACCTGTGTACATGGTATTTTCATAGTACATATGCGTTCTCCACCAGGAATCAAATCTGCATCCTATGAGGGCCTACCATTAAGCCTGACGTGCTATAACCGTTCTGCCACAGAGAACTACTGTTTGAGTAAAGCTCAAGTTAATACTTTTAAAGTTAATGCCGGAGAACGCATATTTTCGACAAAATTTCTCGAACATTTAAACCGGTAAATATAATTTATAATGCTCATTTAACGAACAGAGTATTTTTTTAAATAAGTGTACCCATAAAAATTACATATAAAAAAGAAAATATATTAAATATTTGCCGGATTTAATCTATTTCTTTCTATTTTCTATATAATAATTTAATCTAGTATTTTTTTATAATTGTGATTATAACTTAATCCAGTATTTTTTGCATATGTAGTTATTTATATGCATCCATCCCCCTCTCTTACCCTCTCTCTCTCCCCCCTCTCTCTCTCCCTCTCTCTCTCTCTCTCTCTCTCTCTCTTGTGGAGTTACGCCACTTACTTTCCTAAAAACTGTCGCTAGGGGACACTCCTTAAGCCTAACGACGGTAAGATGTAGGTGACCACGTGAAGAATTACGACCCACACCTGGGTACACACACCTTCAATTGTCTATGTATGCCATTATTTTGTTAATATGTACATTATTATATATATATATATATATATATATATATATGAGATTCAAACAAAATATGTTAAATATCGCTACACAATAGCTTTCATGTTTCAGCACTCATATTGTGCTTCCTCAAGCAATAATAAAAAAAACTAGTGATAAAAAATTTATTTTTAAATTTCAAAAGCAGATAACAACAAAATAAAATTAAAATGAAACTTGTGGGCTTACACTGATTAACCAATTAGCTGTCAAACCTACGCTAAAAAAGGGGGAGAATTCTGATCATGGTAAAAAGTGGTCTGAAATATAATCCTAGACAAGGTCATGAGTGGCACACAAGAAATTAATACAAACTATAAGCGGATGGCATATCTTAATTATGAAACAAATGTAACTTGTTCATTTTTATTAGAAGCTAAGAGGAGAGGTTGAAAGATAATCAAACATATGGCTAATTGTAACATATACTTTATTTTATTTTTTATAGTTGATAATAAATACGATCCTCTAAAAACCAGTAAATGCAACTTAAGTGTTTAAAAATATAAAATAAAAAAATGTGTAATATTCATACAAGATTTTGATAATGCCAACTAAACAGCAATACATAGATATATTAAATTCAAATAAACAAAATAAAATAATCATTCATAAAAGGTGCACCACATTTTACTTATTATGAACATACTACCAAACTTATAGTTTAACCATATTGTAAGGTGAAAGGTAAGTTATGCCTACAATTTAAGGTTAATTAACTTCTTTGGTTTCATAGAGTATTTTTATCAGCAAATCTAATAAATTCAAATTTCTCATGTAAGCATAAAAAGCAAGTTTCATTTAAGGATTTACACATTCTAGCTTTTTATAAAACTTTTCATTTAACCGTAAGAATTTTATTAACCTCTTTTAAATTCCCAAAATATTTGTTATATATATATATATATATATATATATATATATATATATATATATATATATATATTAGTTTCTGTCGTTATTTTGATCATTTATTAACCGGACTTTGCTTTCCGAATCCGCCATTTTTGTTGTGGGATAAGACCAGAAGACACGTATTTTCCACCTAAACACGAACCATTATATACATAAAACTCTCTCTCTCTCCCTCTCTCTCTCTCTCTCTCTCTCTCTCTCTATATATATATATATATATATATATATATATATATATATATATATATATATAATTTACTTATGTGTTTGTGTGTGGTTACCTGTTTCCTCCTCATATTTATGTTTATTTTAAATATAAAAGAAAGTCTGTTTTGTTTGGTTTTGTTTTTTAACAACAATCCCCGTATAAAATATCAACCACGCCACTATTAGGATAATTCGATAAATTTAAAAAAAAAAATGAAAATCAGTATCATCTTACCGGTGATCAAAAATGTATATCTATTTATATATAATTTATAGCTCTCTTATACAGGGTGTGCCTAGAGTCTGGACAAATAGGAAATCTCATTAACTACATTTTATTTTACCTCCACATAATAAAAATGGTTTTCTAGTCTGTGGTATGCCAAAGGAGAAAGTCTGCTCAATAAAAATCACAGATGCAACACATTTGATTGAACGTATAAAGAGTGAATGTGCTAAAATTGACGTCAGTGTGGGGCTATTGCATCTGGTTTAGGTGAATATTGTAAATTGCATCGACCTTTGCACCACAAGTAATAGAAAGCATATTGAAGATGTTATTTGTTAATATTCCAATTCAATAAAATATTGTTGAAAATTACATTTCTTGAAAATATGCATTATTGCATACACGTCCAGCATTTAGGAACCCCCTGTATTACATCCAGCATTATTTTATTAAGACCAGCACTCAGTATGTGATATATATATATATATATATATATATATATATATATATATATATATATACATATAGGCAATAAAGTCAATAAATACTTACAATAAGAATTAAGACAAAAGCAATTCATCAACAGTACAGAATTTTATTATTAAAATGGTTCTGGTTAATTTTGGTTAATGACAATAAAGTTCTAGGGTAAACAATAGTAAATTAATAACGAATACTTTTCGAATTGCAAACCACCTACTTCAGTGCTCTGCTTTTTTATTATAAGAATCTGTATAGTGGCTTGATGTAAATGCTATATATATATATATATATATATATATATATATATATATATATATATATATATAGTAGATGATAGATAGAGAGAGATGAACAGACATAGATAGATAGATAGATAGATAGATAGATAGATAGATAGATAGATAGATGAACAGACCGAGTAAAAATAGATAGATAATGAAAAGTCTGAGGAGGAGAGAGATAGAAGATAGATATATAGATAGATAGATAGATGGACAGACCGAGTAAAAATAGATAGATAATGAAAAGTCTGAGTGAGAGAGACTAAGATAGATAGATAGATAGATAGATGGACAGACCGAGTAAAAATAGATAGATAATGAAAAGTCTGAGTGAGAGAGACTAAGATAGATAGATAGATAGATAGATAGATAGATAGATAGATAGACCGAGTAAAAATAGATAGATAATGAAAAGTCTGAGTGAGAGAGACTAAGATAGATAGATAGATAGATAGATAGATAGATAGATGAACAGACCGAGTAAAAATAGATAGATAATGAAAAGTCTGAGTGAGAGAGTCTAAGATAGATAGATAGATAGATAGATAGATTCTGGGTGTAACAGCAAAATAGTCCAAACAGCAAAATTGTTCAATTTTTAGATTAAGATCTGAACCTTTGTGTCTTAGAAATGAATAAAACTATCATACTGGAATTCTCCGAGGTGTTTATAATTCTACTTTGAGTCTTATCAATGTGTAATTACTCTCCAAGCTTAACAGAAGAATTGTGATGAAATCGATCATAAACGAAAGTGAAATATTTATCATTAATTAACCATAGCTAAGGAGCGGAAGCTCATGAAGGATTGAAATGAAGTTCAGACATATATATATATATATATATATATATATATATATATATATATATATATATATTATTCCATGATCATTTTCAAACTTATTCAACATGATCTTCGCCTTTCTAACCTTCTAGCTTTCTGTCCTGGTGTAACAAGTTGCCTCGCACGCTTCACGTCAGATGTCATTTATTTTCATGCCTTTTTCCACTGCTCTTTGGACTGCCATAGGTAAAAGTCTTCTATCACCTGCCAAACGTCTTATGGATTGAGTTGGATCTTTTGTAATTACACTCTTTAGCTCGAAATTTAAATCATGGCCCCTCTTCCTGTTGTGACCTCCTGATTCAATTTTCCTCTCTACTGTTAACTTTTTAAAACTTTACTATTCTCTTGATATTTATTGAATGTATTTTGGAGATGAAAGTCAGAGTATGAATATTAGAAGCATTACTGAAGGCCTGAACGATCTTTTTCCTCTCACCATTGTTCAGCTAAGAAGACAGTAGATTTGGCACAAAACGATTTTAACATGTTCTCTTTCTAACTGAACAGCGCAAAGTGTGTTTTCAGTAATTCTTACCAAAATGGCGTCAAGATGGCTAAACGTCTTATTTGAAAACCCGGAAAAAAGAAACTGAATTAGTTTAGTGCTTTTTTTTTTTCGATATTAAACATTATTCTGTAACACGATTTCGACAATTTTACTGTTACAACCGAGATTACTCCCTGTGTGCCTAAATGACACAGACTAAAGTGAATTTCTCTTCCCCTTTATAGAGGACAAAATCATGAAATCTGTCTCTTGCCAACCTTCAATTACTTGTCAAAATATTTACTTTAAACGAATTGTTTACCAACGATAGGAAAATACGCAAAAAATAGTGTTCCTTTCGCAGTCACGAGTAAATCAATGTGAACTTAAGATTATATTTCTTTATTTAATAACACAGGCTACAAATATTATAGAAAGCCAAGGGAAATTAAAAAAAAATCAAAAAATTCATAGAAGCAATAAAACTGCCAAGCCAGTCCAGATGTTTATCAGTGCGTATAATTTTCCTTAGTTATTCAATAAACATTTCTATCTGTGTATATATTTCCAGATATAAGTAGTTTTTCCCCCTTAGGTGTATACTATTGTAAATAGTAAATTAAATTCTTATTTTATTTTTTATTTGTTATTGACTTCCAAATCTCTATAGATTTTCATATTTACTAAGCTTAGCTAAGTATGGCATAAGATCGTTTGTATGAATTAACATCCGATGATGTAACTGCCGATGTACCAGCTGACTCTGTTACGTAGGCTGGAAGCTAACGAGTCGATTATTATAATATTTCCGATTTCATTTTCTAGTCACAACATTTTGTTAAGACCAACTGTAACTCCAGTTCACAATATGCTAGGTCTCTTTAAAACAGGTTTTGATCTCTACTACAGAACGAGGTTCTCATTTTAGTAGTGAGGATATCCAAGAGGATCAATAATTAATTGATTTTAATTAATAATAATAATCATAATGAATGCTTATTCAATTATTAAAATAACCTTTCCTAGTAACAATAAAATCCAGTTCGCCACCTTCTAAAGTACCAAGGATCCATAATCTTAGCTATAGGGAACTAAATAACAACAATAGACATATAGATCATACTAAATTTATACTAGTTCGACTGTAAACCAAATGGAATTAAGCTGCAAGAGTGTGTAGCACCAAATGTGCTTTGGTTTGGTTTGATTAGTTTAGTTTTATGGTATATCAACCTCAATGGGTTATTTAATGTCGACAAAATTTTTATTGCTGGTAATTATTTTTTCCTTTAAAAATCTATTTCTGGTAATATTTTTTCTTCAAAATTGTATCTCTGGTAATATTATTTTTTTTTTCAAAAATGTATTGCTGATAATAATTTTTTCTTCAAACATATATTGCTGGTAATAATTTTTATACAAAGTATTTCTGGTATTATAACGTATTTTTACACTTTCATCGTGTTCTGACTCCAGTTTGGGGATTAACTATTTGCCCATAACTGGGACCCTAACAGGTGCTACCACTCTGGGTCTGGGGGGGGACCAAGGAACACCAGTAATTAGGTGGTGGTTCCATGCTACTCAAAACCTCCAGATCATAGGCGTTCCTGTTGGACGTAGTTTATCGTCTTACCCAGGACGCGGATGTAGTGTATCGTCATACTCAGGACGTCAAATGTGCTTTGAAAAAAAAAAAACCAAAAAAAAACCCAAATAACTGATTTTACCTAAGCACGCTAACCAAAAATCGACTTCGAACGAAAAAAAAGCAAGAGACTTAAGCAGGATAAATTGAGGTGTTAGGAAGATTATGTTCCGCCACTTTTGTGAATGTGATGAACTTCCTAGTGTTTTTTTTTTTATCTAAAAGAGTGAATTTCAAATCCTGCTTATTAAAATCAGCATTTGAAATTTACTCTTTTACATAATTCTAAACACCATCTATTTAACCTGCTGGAAATATGCTAAAAATTGTCAAGCAGTACTTACCTAGCTAGTACCTGGACGTTTCTATCCTTTCTGCTGCCATTTCTTTCTAGGTGTGCATTAAAGAGATGTTATTACAAGGAGCAAATTACTTTGCAGCAAACTTCCCTACACAAATTACATCCAGACTATAAAAACACGTGTTGATGTTGGACTATCTTCTAAAATCTTTGTGTGTTTCAAGATATATGAGACAATAGGAATTTTATCAAGATCCAGTAAATTGAATAACTTAGGAACAAACCACGCATCTTTAATGCACACTTAAAACTACTTAGAGCGATATTACTGCACCAGAATGAAAGTCACACTCAGTCGTCAGATATTTACTGGTTTTTTAAACAAAGGTCATAAATTTATTTCACAGAAACTTCAGCTTCCTCTTTCTGATATTAAATATAAGCTTTCTCCTTGTTTGCAACCTCTCTAAGACCTCATCGGATTTTTTAAACAAAGGTCACCTATTTATTTCACGGATTCCTCTCTATCGCCGACATGTTTGATGATCTCTTACAGATGTCCGTATATGGACAGGGTTTATTTCTCCGAATAGGAAAGGAATCAATTATCAGGCTTCTCGACCTTAAAAAAAATATAATTTTCTTTATTATATTTATTGGCCTGCTTTCTGTAGATTGATTTGATTTGATTTTACGAATTATCAACACAATGTGTGTTTGGGCTATTTATGTTTTCGGACTGTTGTCCTCATCTTTACTGTCACATTCACAAAGTTTCGTACGCCTCGGCTTTTTTCAGATGATATTTTTTTGAATTTTGAACCGATCCCTTTATTTTGTCCACGGGGGTAGAGTGTTCTAATTCCATGCCTTTTGGATATCTCAGCTTTAGTTCATTCGCCTTGATAACTCTCAAACATTGTGTTCTCTTCGCTGAGGCCAGGGATTTAACTCTTTGGGTCAAGTGACTTTTTGGATCAACCAACCAGCGTTTTTATCCATTGGGCCATATGTGAGTGAGTTTTGGAACTTATAAACCTAATGTCTCAGTAACCGCTTTGTAAAATTAATTTTTTTTTTAATAATTTGTTACCTCATTTGTCATTGATGATTTTCTCTAGTCCTCTTTATAACTGTACTATATTGTATTCATTTCTATTCTGCGACGACTTGGGAGATTTTTTGCACTGATTCCTTCTTTCTTTTCTTTTTATGTGCCATGTCCTTTCAGGACGTAGATGATCATGGCTCTCCACCTCCCTCTATCCCTTGCAGCTCTCAACAAGCTCCTTCCCTCTGTTACCTCCTCCCCCAGACCACGTTCTGTCATCCACCTGCTCAAGCTCGTCAGGTATGTCACGCGCTGCTTCCCTTTGTCTCTCTGTCCCTCTGTTTGACCCGTGAGTATAAGATTTTCCAGGATCTCCTTCCTCATTATGGGTCCCAGAAACTTCAGCTGCCTCTTCCTGATGTTAAATATGAGTCTCCATCTTGTTTGCATCCTCTCTAAGACCTCATCGTTGCTCACACGCTCGGCCCATGATATCCTTAGCATCCTTCTGTAGAACCACATCTCTGTCGTCTCGAGTCTCTTCTTCCTCTGTGAGGAAATCGTCCAACATTCGCTGCCGTAAAGAAGGACAGATGTCACGTAACAGTTCAGTATTCTTTTCTTTGATACCAAAGATATCCTCCTGTCTCGCAATACTCTACCCAGCTTTTGGATTGTCTCCTCGGCCATCCTAATACGTCTACGGATCTTAATGTCCCTCTTACCGTCCTCTGCCAAGATGCTTCCGTGTCTGCTTGATTCTAGTGTCCCCGACCTGCGAATCGCATTTCGGGCTCTTCAAGTTTTCGTATTATCTCCTAGTGTTCTCTGTTTATTATTTCAACTTCATCCAACAGAGAACAGTGATCTCCCTTTTCTTTCCATATGCCTGATTTTTCTGCCTGATATGCCGCGTTCTTATCGTTAGGGGTTGCCATGTTTCTCCTTTATATTTCTTGCCACATCTGCGTAATATTAAACTATTCCCAAAGATTTTACTGATATCACAAGGACCACATCTTTGGTGCCTTTTCCGATTGCGAGCTATTTAAAGCAGAAGCAGATATTGGGCCTTCTTGAGAAATATCGGGAAGTGGTTTCTCGTTGTCTTCAACACTGATTTGAATTCTGCCTACCACCCAAGGTTAAACATTTATACACTGCTATTAAACCCATAGCATGGCGGGATGAGGGTAAAAAAAATAAATGCCTTTCGCAGGGTTAATAGTTCGAAATTGTCTTGAGTAAACCGTCGATTACACTTTCTGGATCGATAACCGTTACACTATCCATCCATAAAATTTGACACTTTAAATTCAACTTGATAGATATTTCCTTAAAGAAGAAGAGGAGACTTGAGTCAACAGTGATGTGCAAATATAGAAGAATCCTGTGTCTGCTAAAGACGGAGTATGTGGACAACATCGATATTTTATGGAACATAGAAACGAAGAGGAAATTTTTTTTTCAGAAGATTGTAATGACAATGATAAAATAAAGCCATTTACTTATAAGGAAATATTTCGTATTCATCAACTGAGCAGCCAGTATTTGAAATTTTAAAAAATCTTTCTCTTAAAACAATTATTCAGAAAAATAGGTTTCTCAAATCCAGTCGCTATTATTGTTCTTTCCAGTATAGATGGAAGCTTCCTGCCTAAACTTCTGTTGAAATTTCTGCAACACATAACGAGACAAGAAGGTTTGGAGAATTTGACACTCACAGGGCATACTGAAAGCAAGGGAGATAGCGTGAAATAAACAGTTCATGAAGACGGATGGATCAGCAAGCATAGTAAGGAGAAAAACATTGTTTACAATTTAAAAAAAAAAGGAAAAAGATAGGAAGTTGTCGATAGACATCTTGAAGGTTATCGGTATATAGGAGAAAAAAGGGAAAAGAAATGTTTCTTGATGAATAATGTACTTTATTTTTCTCATTATCTCTTTGGACATAATTATTTTTGGAAATGAATGTATGGAGAATTACTGCTGTGGGAAAGAATTATGTATTGTCATCTTAATATTTATTCTAATCAAAAACAAAACAAAAATAAATTCGTCTCCTGCTTGGTGCCGTGAGGTAGAGACCGAATGAGACGTGTTTCTTTTTTCTATTTCTCCCCCTCTCTCTATTTCTTAAGTTGAATAAAACCAGACATGCGCAATAGCATCAATAAGCAACTCTCTGCAAGGCGAATATATGTGCCGTGTGACAGTAAACGTGTTAAACTCGAAGATAATGAAACCAGCCTATTATCTTCACTAAATACGACCATAGAATCTCTTTACAAGCAATTATTTAAGACGGTAATGTATATTGGACCAAATTCATTCAACTTTACTAAACATTAAAGAGTTATAACAGCGTGGCGAGATGCTTAGTCGAGATGTTGAAAGCTACGAAAGAATTTTACACTTTTTGTTCACATATCAAAAATGAAGTAACACGTATCGAAATAATGTTGTTGTGTTTTGCATGCAAAAGTCTTTTTGCTGTTCGTTATTCTTCGGCACTTAACTGCGATCCACTGAGACTGAAATGTGTGAATAAATAACAATGGTTGCATGTGAGATTTCCTTACATTGCAAGAAATATAAAGTAAAAACAGACAGAGAATTACGGTAAGAAAATATAAATAATAATGATACAGAGCTATTTAGATAGGTAGACTCATAAACACATAGATATAAACAGAATATAATACATAGATAAATAGATGAACAGATAGATAGATAGATAGATAGATAGATAGATAGATAGATAGATAGATGAAGAGACTGAAACAAATAAAAACACTGAAATAGATAAACAAACAAATAAAAAAGAAACAAAAATATCTGAAAACATATGAACATACTTAGATAGATAGATAGATAGATAGATAGATAGATAGATAGATAGATAGATAGATAGATAGATAAAAAGAAAGACTGCTTTTAAAATATGTGAATTCTGCTTTCATTATTTAATTCCGAAATGTTGTATGATCAAACTAAACTGTGCATTTTAATAGTCACCCAAACTAACCCAGGGAAACATTAAGGTTGAGCTGCCATAGACAGACAGATATGAATATTCAGACAAGCAAATACCTAGCTATCTTGCTACGTGGCTATGTAGATTTATAAACACATAGATAAAAACAGAATATAAAAAATAGACAGACAGCTAGCTAGCTAGCTAGCTAGCTAGCTAGATAGATAGATAGACTGAGGTAAGTATGGAGACAGATATTAATTGCGTGACATAATTTTTCTTGTTTCTGCTTGACTTTTAACAAAACATCTAACCTTCCCTAAAATCGCCTCTCTCTTTCTCTCTCTCTCTCTCTCTCTCTCTCTCTCTCAGTCTCTTTCACTCACTCGCTCACACAAACACGCACACGCACACATCCACTCAAAATTTGCGGCTCTAACTAATATGCCTGAAGGGAAGATGGACTCTTCCGCTATGGAATACGGCGCTGGAGATCAGAATCCCCGGACCCCCTTCGCGTCAGGGGATGGATATCCGGCCGCAGCCAGTCGCTTAATAATAACCAGACAGATTTCTTTGCGTCTCATTTCGTGTGCGTTTGGAATGAATCGTCCTGGGTAGCCAGTCTTAACTTCTCTTGCAAATGGCCGCCGGCAATCGCCTCTAATGAGGAAACCTTTGCAAGTAAACAACCAAGGAACTAAGAAAGAGAAAACGTGCAACCGATTCCAGCAAAATCTTTGTGATGGATGCCGCTGGAAGTAACAAGATCTTCGAATAACAGGTGGTCTGCGCACTCTGAACAATGCCTTTCATTTCGACTCAACAAATGGTTTCCTGTGTTCAGTCATATTATACGTGAATGAACAGGTGTGCTTACGCACCAGAATAATGGCCTGCTTAGTGGCTGCAGTAGTTGCACGTTTCGCACCTCCCACCACTGTCTACAGTTTAAGCCCAATTAAAAGACTTTTTTTTCAGAGTCTGGCAATCGCCCTTTTTACTCTTGGACCATTGGGACAATACAACCTTTTATTTAATTATATCCGCCTTGAATGAAATGAAACAGTGTGAATAGCAACACCAAACTATTGACAAATTGATAAATTTGGTGCAACAATATCTTCGCAATGTTCCTTTCCTTCATTTGGCTTAAATAGATTTGTAGATTATTGGCGCAAGAAATGAAATAGGCGTGTCGACTTCAATTTCCGGCCTACTTTCTTACGTTTACATCGAGCCAAGTGCTTTTGAAAAAGTATGGGTCCTTTTCCCTCACCCCTCAGATATGGATTAAATAGCAGGGTAAACTTAAGCAATGTGCTGAAATCAGACTAGAAAGAAAATTGTGAATTCAGAACGACTATTAAAGTCAAAATTTTCGGCTGTTATACCATTTGTCATTCTTCAGGTGTATGAAAAAATTTGGTCTTGTTCCGCTTTCCTGTCTGTTAATATTCCTGGGTTTTAGTCAACTTCGTGTTGCTTATCTGTTTTCTTTACTGAACCAGAGAGTTTGACTCTTCATCATCACCAGATTTAGAGCTTGAACTCCTAACTGCTAGGAAACCATGTTTTAATTAACAATTTAATCCATGAGGCACTTTAATCGCACTCACCCCGATAAACAAGATTTTTTCTTAAATTATAATTTTTTTTTTGAAATTATAAAAAAATTCTTGTAAGTACCTCGAATATCATCCACACTTTCAAAATGTGAATAACTCCCTGATCGTTGGTAATTTTTTCATTCTGAGAACTGGCGTAGTTACGAAGCAAACTAAACAAACTTTGATTTAAAATTTATAATTTCAATAGAATTCCCAAAACTTAATAAAAAAAAAAGACAATTTTAATAGAAAAACAAATTTAATAAAAAATATAATTTCTTGGGGTGAATTAACAGAAAATATCCGACATAATGTATTTATAAAATAAATAGATTGTTTTAAGTATTCATTAAAGGGAGGTAAGTCAAATAATATGTAAACAGTGAAGCTAAAATTATATCCTGTAATTTAAGCATTGGCCATAAAATGGAAATTCTGTTAAAAGAGGTGTCTTTAGAATATGAAATTCCTCACAGAGTGAGATAGGGACGATTAGTAAAAAGATCTTGCAAAATACAGAGTGCAGCAGAAATACTTTCCTCGTGTACCTCCCAGAAATACCACCCATATACTGGTAACACATTATTGGCAATTGCATCTTCATCTAGCTAAGGTTTTACCATTATTTGGTAAGTATTTCTGGGAGGTATATGTAGGAGGCATTTCTGCCGTACCCTTTATTAGTGATGTGTTTTATCAAAAAAGCAATACAGTGTAGATATACAACAGACGACATACGCTTGTCTGCAAATATTGAAAAAGTGCTGCCACATAATGGATTATTCGTCGGTGATCATGGCTCGCCACAATTTCCTGTCTTTTTTAGCTCTTTATTAATCTAATCTTTTTGTATCTCTTCTAAACCTTGTTCCGCCAACCATTTACTCAAGCTCGCTAGGTAGGTTATGCGTTGTTTTCCTCTCCTCCGCTTGCCTTCAACCTGTCCTGTGAGTGTCAAATTTTCCAAGCCGTCTTTCATCATAATAAGCTATAGAAATATCAACAATCTTTTCCCGATGTTAAGTATAAGTGTCCTATATGTTTTCATATTCTCTAAAAACTTCATCGTTGATCACATGTTCGGTCTATGGTATTTTCAGTACCCTTCTGTAGAGCCACATTTCTACTCTTCATCTGTGAGGTGATTGTTCTTCATTCCCTGTTATACAGGCGGGCTGGTATTGCATAGCATTTCTGCAATCCTACCCATCTATAAATTAAAAATGCATAATTTGGCAATTGATATATTCAAAGATTTTATCAATATAACTGATTAATTTGGAGATATCAAGTATTGCCGAAAATCATTGCTTTGCCTCAATAACCAGATAAAAAAAGAGAAGAGAGGCATACAAGAATTTTGATGTATTTATGGGATTCTTTGACGGAGCAGATATCAGTGATCTACTTCAACCATCAGTCAGTTAAGTGCCATACGTGATACACGCTTGAACGATCATGTATCTCTCGATATATGATTGACGAGGCAAATTTTTTCCTGCAGTAGGTTTCTGCGGTAGACTGGTTGCCAACTAAGGCTAAATAAACGTCTGTCTTTCTATTCAACCCATAGCTTGGTGGAGAGGAGATGGATTCATGCCTTTCCCAAGGGTATTTGTGCGTAAGTAAATCTTAGAAACTTGATTGGAATTCGAACTCGGTTCTCCGAGTTCTCACTCTGAGCCGATATCCATTACAACTATATGTTTCTCAAAATATGAGAAAATGTTTTTTGTCAAAATAACTATGGCCTATATCGAAATGATAGACTAAATTTTACAGAGAATTACACAAGTAGGAAGAATGATATTTTGAGAAAAATATTATTCAAACTTTTTTTTTTTAAATAACTGTTTATATAGAAGCGAAGGCAAATTTTAAGATTGGGGATTATCTTGAGTGAAGTTAAATCTAAATAAAAATGTTGTCAACCCATACAAGACATCGATTTCTCAATTATATTATGTGAATAACGTACTAAAAAACAGCGAAAGTTATTGGCTATAACTAGTAAATAAATATACTGTCTGTAAATGCGTCGAACGAATTAATATTTAATTGGAAGAATTGTTAGATAACCTACGGTTGACTGATTGTGACAACTTCCGGATCATTTTTGGCGGGTGTTTGAAGGATGTGTGTAAAAAAATCGGTTTGTCGTTCGGTTATGTACAGTGGGCTGCAAAAGTAGGTATACACTAAGTGGTTCTAGGATTTCTTTAATTCTTTTTTGTACGCATGTGTCATGTTCTCTTGATATCATGATTTAGTTTGTACGGAAGGCTTGCCAGGAAGTTGATGCTGATAAAGCTCTTTGATTCAGAGAGTACACGAGTATCATCTCTCGACGAGTGGAGTGTGTGAATGCCGGAGACAAACACTTGAACACTTGGGGGACTGATATGTTTATTATTGATATGTTTATTATTGTTATGTATGTGTAATCAACGCAATGCAGGTCTGTAATTGCAGAACACTTTATGCAAAACCAAGAATGTGTATCATCCTTACAAGAAGACATGTTGTCAGTTCTGTGGCAATTACCTATCATTTAAAAGTTCTTGAAACTATTTCATTAAATCAAGATAACATTCCTTATGTAAGCAGAAGGAATGGTTGTTAGGAATGAATGGGACCCTCTTTACTTTTTTTTTCTTTTTTCTAACAATGTTGTTCACCATGTACATGGTCTAAGAGCCACTCTAGGTAGAGGGTTACAGAGTAAGAGACGCAGTCTATGCGGATACGTGAGGAATATAAAAGTTAACCCTAGACTTGAAATGGTTAAGATTGTTGTGACTGAAGAAGCGTATTCTTGGAAGTCAGTACCACAGAGCTCATGTGTTTTAAGATATACCTGCCTCAATACAAGGGAATGCAAAAGTAGGTATACAGTAAGTATTATAGAAGTATTGCCAGTATTATAATAGTGGTTCAAGGATTCATTTAATATTAGAATTCATTAAAACTATTTTTAATATTTTCATTTTCCTAATTTTTATTATAATACATTTATTATAATTCTGTTAATAAATAACTGTTATAAATTCGGGGGACAAACAGTTTGAACATGTGAGGGATTGATATGATTATTATTGGTATGCTGTTATTGATATGTTTGTGTAATCAATACAATACGTTTTGTGTGCACGTTTTGTTTTTCATTACTGTATACCTACTTTTGCATTCCACTGCATATAGCTGAAATTTACATTTTCTCTGTTTGAATGTGACGTCTGGGAAAAGTATTTAATTCTGTCTCTACATCTATGTCGAATCTTATATTTTTAAAATATTTGTGATTACTTTTCTGGATGTGTCCGGGATTTTTGTCTGTTACAATCACCTAATAATCCTTCCAATGAATTAAATAGTTAAATAGTTAAAAATGATTATGAAACAGCTCTACAATCTCATATACCCATCATGCAATACAAAAAAAAAAGTCAGTAAAAAAAGAAACATATCTTTTAACACATTGTGCAACAAAAACGTAAAATATTCATTAAACTCTTCCCCAAATAATTCTCCATATCAATCACTCGCCACGAGATATTCAACATAAACACACTAAAATCAGCTGTAGTTTCATCGAGAACATGACATAAATAATAAAAAATCAAAACAAAAAGAATTAAGCAAACAATCAAACACACCTGTAACTGCAGAGTAAAACATGAATGTACCTTAAATGGCAAACGCCTACAATGAAATTGAATACAACAAGCCGCTGTCAAAACAACAGATAACGAAGAAAAAAATACATATAATTAGTAAATTAAGGATTTTGGAAACAGAAATTACGAACACAAAATATCTTTTAACAACAGTAAACATGGGAGCTGCACAACCCTCTTTAAACATATATGTAAACTGTAAAGTAAATCTTAAAACATAGCAAACATATGGAAAAGAAAGTAAATAGCACCAGTCTAGAACTAGTCTGAAAATTGCAAACTTTGCCTGGAGAAGAAAATACGTATAATAAATAACCTTCACAGCAGAATATAAATTACTAAATAAATGATCAGAACTTATCGCAAAATGCCGACAAAAAAAACAACTGTTAAATGCTGAAAACTAAGAGATTAACAGGTTGTAAAACATCATAAAGAAAAAATATATATATACGCATTATACACAAC